ATATATAGTATAGTATATATATTTATCTTTGCTAATTTAGTGAAAGAATTTCAAAATAAAAAATAGTTATTATATGGAATGGCATTACCTTTTAGACTTTTAGAGTTGTTGTAAAGTCTACTCTTAAGGGTAAAATATTAGTTGTGGCTACAAGAGAGTAGTATTGAAAACAGAGTAAATTCCTGAGTCTCGGACACTGCTGGGGGACATCCATAATTTCTATTCTACTCTTTCTCTCTAAGGATTCAATAGAACAAGAATAAAATAGTATTTGCTTGTTCACCTTGTTGCTGCGTGGCAGGCCTGGGGACTGGTAAATATGGCAAAAAAAAATATGGCAAAAAAATAGCCGTAATATTCTTGGAAAATACGTATTATGAACCCTTGGCGGAAAATATGGAATATGAAATATGAGACAGTATTGGCATATTATGTAAAAATATTTTCGATAATATGAAATATGGATCAAATTTACAAAGTGTCAGGCTGTCAGCCTGGCAGCCAGCCATCGGCGGCTGACTTCGGCTCACGGACTCGTGCTCGTCACTCGTCACTTCGTCAGTGCAGTTTTAGAAAGGTCTCACAGACTCAGAGTCAGACTCTCAGTCTAAGTTCAAAGCACCATAGGCTAACGGCACCATATGACTAAATATATCACTACAAAGCTGAAGTGCTAGCTAAGTAGCTATTAGGCTGGCCGCTAGATACTAAGACAGGTGTATTTCATAGATAGCTTTAGGCGCCGTGATACTCTCTGATCTCTCACATCACACAGGCTCACTTCTCAATAGAGCCACTACTGATCAGGATGACAACGAAACTTGATCAGATTGCAGAATGCTATAAAATATTGGGCAGAGCAAAATTAGTCTTCGCGACAACGAAGTTTACTTCAGTTATAGGTGGAGCTACGTGTAATTACTGTGTAGCTAAAAATCCGAATAGTAAACATAAAGTGCGTGCATTTCACGGTAGCAATGCGGATATCGCGGAAGAGGACTATGAGAAACAGCATATAAAGAAGTGGCCAAAAGATCTGACTGGACAGTGGGAATTGAAAGTAGCTAAGGTACAAGAACAAAGTAAACTGAGCTTTGCGATGGCACCTGGTAGTAATATAATGTCAACACTCGATCAGAGTTTTAATAGTGCCAAATTTCCAGCCGACATACAGTGGACAATTAATATATGTAGATACGATTTGCCGCTTAGTCTTGGAGACAAGCCAGGTATCAGAATTTGGATCCACTTCGTTAGACAAGTACCTACTACCATCAAATCGTCCTACACTGCACCTGTTCCAAACAGTATACGTAAATACTTACCTAAAATAATGGAGAACATCAAATCTGCTGGGTTGGACAAATAGCACCGTGCGATGGAGTTTTACGATGGACTGTTGGCCGCTATAGAAAGTGATTTATGGAAAGACAACAGGAGAAGAAACTGGCTGGGCTCGTTGATCCACTCCATCGACGCCGATGTAAAAGCCGGGCCTCAACATTAGAATCATGTAATATAAACCTACTCTTAATAGTACGTAAAACATACTCTTAAAAGTACGTGAACTTAAGTTTTACATAAATGGTTTTTCACGGTTTTCATTAATTAAATACCTTTTCCA